GGCTGAATTCATGTGGATGATAATCTTGTGTTATTCAAAGCTACTATGTTGTTTAACCCCCTAAGGACACATGACGTGTCTGACATGTCATGATTCCCTTTTATTCCAGAAGTTTGGTCCTTAAGGGGTTAAAGTTTTGGAACTCGGATCTTGGCAAAGTGAAAAAAATGCAGTATAATTGTGCTTAATATTAACTCCAACACCCTAGAATATACATAAATATAGGAAAAATCTATTCATTTTTTAGGTAAAAGAAACAAATATGTATAAAGAAAGATTGCAAAAAAGAAGGAATGTCTGAATTGTGCCAATATAATGGTGTGCTAATCAGAAGCTGAAATAAATAAATATCTTAGCTAGAAATAGTTTGACGCAAATTTGACGCCACTAGAATGAAAAATCATTAATCCGCAAGTAGTGCAGTATGGCAATGTCACAGGCGCTTCAAGTTAAACCCCCGTTAAATTTTTTATTTATGCTCTCTATTAAAACTGTGAACACCGTTCAGATGAAAGGTTTCCACTTATAGCAGGTAAATGTCAATCAACTTTTTGCGGAGCAGGAACTGGCAGAAACCAAGCCTTATTTTACTAAGAGATACGTACAATGGTTGCTGCACTTGTCATTAGTTATAAAGGAAGTTCTTAGGGCGCATAGATAAAGACTTTATCCAGAGTAACAATGAGAATAAAATTTCTTAATAAGAAGTTGTTCGGTGCTTTAATAAAGCATCCGTCTTCTGGAAATATTGTTTGTTGAACAAACAGAACTTGGGTGAATAATAAGAACTGGGAAATAATGCATTAGAGTCAGCACAGAGCAGAATTATATGTTTATGTAGCAAAGGATTGGCAAACCTTCCATCAATAATATCTGTATAAAGTATAGGAGGGATTTACTAAGCCGTCATGTGTTTTTCTGAAAGGTTGATTAATGTCCTTGAATTGAAAATATTGGAATCTGACTGTAACATATACAATATTAATAATATTAGTATATGGGTACAAACTAAACCATATCGTGAGCAAAGCAGACCATGAAAATTATGATCTTAAAAGAAATATCTTGGCACAGGTGAACAGCTGGATTCCCTATCTATTCACAGAGCCTGTATGAGTTAGAAGTGATAGATATTTTGGGGCCCAAATCCATCCCCCAGTGTGTTTCCATGATTGTTTACCAAATAATGTTTTGTCATGTTGGGTGAATGTTTAGGATAATGTTAAGGCATCTCGGTGGCCTTCTCTATGATGCAGGCTGGTGCAGTTAGATGACGAGATGATTTTAATAAAACACAGACTGTTGGATTTACTGGGAGAAGCTGAAACCCACCATGAAACTGTTTCTTCTCTTGCAGGATGTATAATTTAAGACTTGAAGCTCCTAACCTCTATCGAGTTTGTAAATTCTTTCAGATTTTTTTAGATCTAAGTCATTACAACAGAATGATAAAGTTCTAAAAAGAACTAATAATTTTGAGTGATACCTGCTTTTTAACATTTCCCCTACACACATGATACTCAAACCTTGAATGTAACCGGAATGTGTAGGCAGAGACTGCTGTTGCGCCTTAGTAATGTATGAACTACCGATGATACAAGTGAGTACCAGGAGAATGCAATTTAAACATAGCAGATCCAGATGTTTTAGTTTGCCATATCTGGGTGGGGAAGGATGATAATTTGGCCACTATGTGACTTTAGGTTTCAGCAGTAAAAAAAAAATTAAAAAAAAAATCAAACAAGATGTGGCGCGTATGCTGGTAATATTTCTAGACAGGAAACCAGTGATTACACCGCACAGGTTTTTTGAGATGTGCAAAGTATCCCGAGGCCTTGGAAAAATGCCAGGTTTAGCCCAACTCAAGTGTTTTAGAGTTTGTTCTTCATTCAAATGGCTTAGCAGTCAGGCATGGGGTATTCGAGCAGAATCGGAAAGATTTCACCCTAACAATGATTTATCAGTTTTACAGTCTAATGAAAGTTCCTTAACTTTGGCAAGAGCCCTCTCTCTATATCGATTTAGGGTTAAGAATATACTTAAATTACTTAACGGGACACTCCAGACCCCTAAATGACTTTAGCTTGTTTAAGTGCTTTATATGTAAAGAATGTCCTCTTTTTTCATGTTACAAAAAAAAAAAACCTGCAGATTTCAATAGAAATTGTCACTTTTATAAATTAACCTTGTTACCCTCATGGATGTCAATCAGACAAGAAGTTATGTTACTTCCTGGTTTGGTTAGCTCAGTGAGCTAAACTCAAAAGGCAGGAAATTGCCCAGAGCACCTGCCTTGGGAATCTGTGATTGGACAGCCACAGAAAGTCTCGGCAGGTTTAGAAGGGGAGGGCTTGCAGAAGCTGCCGAGAAGAGATCTGCAGGTTTTGCAAACAGTTTTTAGATAAATACGCCAAATAAAAAAATGCAACTGCCACCAAACTCACAACGTGTGTTTTGTATCATATTATTTTAACTCAGTACTTTTTTGCACTCATTGGTCATAGAAGTGGAATTTTGTTTCAAATCCGTAATCTGGAATACATTCAGATGCTCTCAGAAGCATTGTCTCCGTAATACAATAATTATATTTGCACTCGACCCAATGAAAACACTGTATACCCTAGGGAAAGGTAGAGGCATATTTAAGGTGTGTTTCATTTTCGGATTTGAAATCATTCTTTCATATTTTTTAAATGAACCTATGAGCTCAGATGATTTTTGGAATGCAAGGATTAATATAATGAATTTTAAGGTAATTGATAGATGATGGGTTTTTGAAGTTAATTGATAGATGATGGGTTTTTGTGGGATTTGCTCCTCTTAATAAAAAGAATTGGGATTTGTTCACTAAACACAATGTGGTGCATTAACATCAAACCTGCAACCTGTCAGAACTCATTGTGCAGTGAGTAAACCGATTTTATAATCCTCACCGTGTCCCAGTTTGGCAAGGTAGAGAATTAGATCAATGATAAGCCGCTGATATGTGTGAAGTGTATGAGTGTTTTACAGAGCTCCCCAGCAATAGTACTCACAGCAATGTGCAGTGTGTGAGTGTATCACAGAGCTCTAAAACAATACAACTCACTAAAATGTTCAGTGTGTGTGAGTGTAGCACAGAGCTGTAGGAGTATGTATATGAGTATCAGAAATACTATCTGCTATACATATAATATAATTAGACCAAAATTGTATAGTTTGAGAGCTTTAGCTTCCCCCTCTTACTGTCGCTTTAAGCTATTACCCTTCAACGGTCGCTGTAATCTATTACCCTTCCTCAGGTTCAGTGCAAGGGACGGGAACATTGTGTCTCTAGTGCATTTATTCATTCATTCTCTGTATAGCTCTGGTAGGCCTACAATAATTTTCTCTGCATTGCACAGAGGTTCTATAAAGAAGACTTAAAACACACACACTGTACCGGAGTCTGCATTAACATAGTCCAATGGTTTGAATATCTTTTAAATTGCCCAAAACAGGAACGTGACATTATTTTTTGATAATTTCACGCAAACAGCAATTTTTCCAGACATTTACGTAGCAATGATGGATGCTTTTCTTAAATGCAAGAGGCCCTTGTGTGCATTGATCAATTTCATAGTTGGCCAGCAGAAACAATTAAGCAACTATCCGAGGGGATTGCAGGTTAGTGTAGATCAAAGGAGTCAGGAATTTTTACAGCAAGGACACTCAGAGGAAGGGAGATATCATTACAGAATTTGTTACTGTGATAGGCTCGCCTCTTTTCATTTCCCTCTATTGTTTAAACTTTAAGGCAGAGAACTATTTGGCTATTTGGGCCCCTGGGGGTTTAAGTTTAAGTATACAACCTAATTCACACAGTAGTTTACAATCTCCTGGGTGTAACAAGGCACCTGAGAAAAACCCTTACAGGTTTATAACCCTTGCAAATAAATCCCAAAACACATATACAAGGCATGATTGGGAAATGTACTAAACTGGTCTGATACTAGAAAAGTGTTTGTAGATTGGTAATTTGCCCGATTGATTTGATGATCAATATTTGTTTTTGTTTGCAAGCTTGTGATTGGATATAGTCATCTGATAATATTTGTTTGTTTTTTAATGTGGGATTTAATTAATTTTCTCACACATGACATGTTTTGGAAATATATTGATAATGTGCTTTTAAATATTTGCTTTAATTAACATTATTTACATAACATTTAGATTTTTAGATGACTGAATTCCATGTAATGTGAGGCTAGAGTAAGTATTTCCCGAGTTATAACTGTATACATATATGCATGATTAAACCGCATAAAAGCTAAATTATCATAGTTGCTTAAACATAGAAACATAGAATGTGATGGCAGATAAGAACTATTCAGCCCATCTAGTCTGCCCAATTTTCTAAATACTTTCATTAGTTGCAGTTTATTGATAAGCCTTCTATGTGCAACAGTGTCAAAAGCCTTACTGAAATCTAGGTTAGCAATGTCTACTATACCACCCTGATATATAATTTTAGTTAGCCAATCAAAAAAATCAATAAGATTAGTTTGGCACAATCTCCCTGAAGTAAACCCATGTTGTCTCTGATCTTGAAATCCATGTGATTTTAAATGTTCAACAATCCTATCCTTTAACATGGTTTCCATTACTTTCCCCACTACTGAAGTAAGGCTTACTGGCCTATAGTTGCCCGACTCCTCCCTACTTCCAATCTTCTGGGACTACTTCTGTTAACAATGATTGGTTAAATAAATCTGTTGATGGTTTTGCTAGTACACCACTAAGCTCTTTCAATACCTTTGGGTGTATTCCATCAGGTCCAATTGACTTGTCTTTACTTTTGACAGTTGAAATAGAACCTCTTCCTCTGTAAACTCACATGTAACAAATTACTCATTTGTCCCTTTTCCTAACTGAGGTCCCTTTCCTTAATTTTCATCTGTAAATACTGAACAAAAATATTAATTGTGGCAGTCAGCTAGACCTTTATCTTTTTCTACATACATTCCTTCAATTACAAATCTCATCCAACATAGGGCTTAAACCCACAACCCTGAGATTAAGAGTCTCATGTTCTACTGACTGAGCTAGCTGTAGAGACTCTTAATCTCTGGGTAAATACCAGGGTGATACCAGCTTAAAACTGGTAAATGTACAAAATATTTGAAAATTATATTTAATAAATAATCGTTTGAGTGTGAACCATTGCATCGCTTGGTTCTCACAACTTTAGTCTGTTTGAACAAAGAAGGGTGATCCCTTTAGATTGTAAGCTCACGGACAGGGCTCTCTACCTGTTGTATCTGTCTGTTCTTATTGTATTGTCTTTTTCCCAATTGTACAGTGCTGCAAATATGTTGGCGCTTTATAAATGAGAGTAAGAAATAATCCAGACACTCATGGTAAAATAACTGGCAGATTTATTGAGGATCAAAGTTAACTGATAAAGACATCTTTTGGGGTCCAAATGTTGCTGTGAAACTTTGATCTGCAATAAATCTGCCAGTTACTCTGGGTCATCTTTCTATGTTCATTTATATGTTTCCTGGACTTAAAATAAATACATACCTGAATCATTAATTCCATATACTTTCCTTTCCTAAATAATACTATGCGTAATATACCTTTTATCTGCAAATATGGAGGACAATTCACTAATGGTGACTTGAGAAACAATGTCTAAAATTTAACCAAAATAACATTCTGTCTATTTAATGAATAGGCTCCAAAGTCTTTTATCATAGACATCTACAGATTAAGAAACTTTAGGACTTTAGGACTCATTACTGTTACCAATAGAGAGAGTTAATTTTCTGAGACAGATTATCACCTCATTTAACAACATAATCCGATTTACCTGTAAACCCCTAATATCTCTTAAATGCCCAGTGGTAGTTTAGTGATCCCTCTCATCTTGGATATAAATTGACCCAGATAGCTTTCACAAAACTACAAATTGAAGAAAAAACTGCAAAATTTCGACAAGTGATGATATGTAAAAAAACTCCACATCGGATATAGGCAAAACTTTATGCTCTGATATTTTATGCTCTGTTTTGCTGTTTCGTGAAAAAATACCCATGTCTTTGCAGTTACTATTAATGTTATTCTCTTATAATAAATGAAAAAAGACTTAGAGATCATGAATGAAAATAAACAAACAAACAAAAAGCGACTTTTAGTGTTTAGATATGTCCTGTTTGTTTTGTTTGCACACATAGAGATATAGGCAATTATTTTCTTCATTAACCAGGTGTCCTATTTAGAGATTACAAATTCTCCCTTTCCCCTAAACTAATGAAAACCCCCAGACTAGCTAGACCTGATCATGTGACAAGAGCCAGGTGGCAACCCTAACGTAATACTCCGAGAATTCCAACAAGCTTGTTATGCTGTACGGTAATATATAATTAGAGCACTTACTTAAATCAGTCATTAAAATGATACTAAGGCAATAAAATTCAGGTATTCTCCTTTATAACCAACATGCAATTTAACATGTGTTTAATTATCATTCCACGAAACCCAAAAAAAACAACACAGTACACAAAGCTGTTTTTAATTTATTTTTTATTTTTTCGCAAATCACTGAAAACATGGATACGAAAAAAAATCAGATTCTTTAGCCCTAATATTTATTTTCGTTTTCACAACCAGCTGTGTAGGCTCATTACTGTTGTCATTAGTACTGCAGATATAAAGACACAGTACTGGCAGATATACAGACTGGTTGGGCATGGGGCATCACTGGTGATACACAGGAAGAGGCCCATTATATATTATGAATATTACCCTTGCCAGATGGCCAACTGTGGCTAAAAATAAACAGAGCAATATGGACGAGCCCTGTCATTGGCTGTAATGTCATTGTGCACCTTGAACTATATTTCATGATACACTTTTACTGCACTATTTCTGTGTGACTTCTTCCGGATACAGGAGAAAGATCAGGATGGTGGGACATAGTATCAAATTGGGAAGATTATTATTATTTAGGTATCACCAACATATTCCTCAGCGCTTTACAATCATAGAACAGGGATAGTTGACATACAGAATATTAACATAGACAAGAGGTGCAGAAGGCCATGCTCAAATGAGCCTATAGTCTGTGAGCCATGCCAAACGTCTTTGTTTCCACTGGATATTACTCTTTCTCTGTCAGCTTTCTAGATAATGTGAGATGGAAATAGTGATTTCGAGTGTCAGGACTTATCCTGTAAATATGATTTAGGACAGCGAATGACAATGAAAATAAGTCTTGAAATGCTGGATGAACATTTAAGTAACAGCTACGATTCAGAAAAGATTCTGGACCTGTGGAAATTACAGACAATTTACATATTCCGTATTATAATAATAATTATTATTAACTGTTAGAATATAAATATATAGAAAACAGAACATGACATGGAAACGTGACCATGCGTTACTGCTCTAACGTCTCAAGAAAGGTTGAGTTGCTACAATTTGTAGCTGGACAGAAACACAGGAAGTGAATGGAATTTTTCCATCTCTGGCTCCTACCATGATAACAATACCAGGTATAAAACAGAAACTTCCAACAGAGATTATATTTTCATAGATATTCAAACAGCTTTGAGGATCTGAAGCCTTTCTTTGCAGAGGGTTCTTCCATATCTGGATATTTAGAAGATTTTAATGGCCCCCTAATTTGACTGGTAGTAGATGAGGGACAAGAAAGCATTTTTTGCCATTTAGTTAATGTCCTTTAAATTTAGTTGAATTTGCAGGTTTAGTTCTTATGGACCTCTCTATGTATGTTGATGGAGGAAGTAGGTACACAATGTGTTTAGGCAACCCACAGCACTGTATATTTTAGGAGGGGAACATTTATTGCCAGGGGCAGTAAACATCTTCTGACATTGTACACTTTTTGGGAGGAGGGGAAATCTTTTGTGTCAGAGTTATGTAGGTGTTTTAGGGGCCACAGCATTGGATTCCCACCGGGCCATTTCTTATTATGAATCCCATACAGTAGTGTAAGAGCACAGATGGAAGGCTGATGCCCATTAATATTCCAGATTCCCTCACAAATTGTTTAAGAGGAAATCAGTGAGCCACCATCTGATTATTGAGGGGGATGTTGGGCTCCTTTATATCAGATACTTACCGCAGCCCAGGAGATTGGGGATATATATTAATCCACACATTGGGTGAGGTTTCAGTTACTAATACCCATCCAATGGGATTAAGGATGGAGAAAGGAAGGGAAACAATTAGTAGGGGGACTGATGGCCAGGATTTCCTCTTGTCTTTCATTAGTTTGGAGACCGTGTACCAGAACATCTAAAAAAAGCAAACCCTCCCCTTCTATCCCCGCCCAGACTTTCTGTGACTGTCCAATCACAGACTTCCCAATGCAGCTCAATGAGAAGTCTGTGCAAGGCAGGTGCTCTGGGCTATTGCTGCCTCTTGAATTTAGTCCCACTGAGCTAAACAAACCAGGAAGTAACTGGACCGAGTGTCTGATTGACAACCAGGGGGGGGGTGTAACAAGGCTCATTTATAAAAGTGACAACTTCTATTGAAATCTGCAGTTTTTGTAAACTGAAAAAAAAAATTGAAGAGTCCTTTTAAGCCCTCCATGTTTGATGTAGATTATGCAATCTGCTGAGCTTGTCTCATTGTTAAAATTAAATATTTTCTAATAATGTAACTGCTCAAAGAATCTCTCAGATTTTCCCTATAACCTACACCACCTCCTGGATTTGCTTAGGAACCAATCAGCATATAGTGTTTTATTAGAAATGATTTAAATTCATCTTTTTGTTCTCATACATGGCTACCAGTGAATAGTGACTGGCTACCAGTGAATAGTGACTGGCCATGATGAAACTGCCAACATGAACCAGACTAAGCATCTTGTTTCTTGTGATATTGATCCTTTTATGTTTGGCTGATTCTTTACAATATTATTTATGGTAGATGAAGAGATAGCTCAGTTGGTTAATATGCTAACTACAAACTGTTCAGTCCTCAGACATTAGGTCCCATTGCTGTCATGGATCGATAAAATAGTTTACTTTTTAGTAGGAAATAACAGCTAGAAAATGCAATGTGTTCTTACGAGGGAAACACTGTGATTACTATATTATATACAATTTTATTTTCTTAGCTACCTATGATTTAACTCCATAAACTCTGGAATTAGTGAAAGCTAAATGTTCAATAACCATCTGTACCGCAATCGTATTAAAGGACCACTACACACCATTTATTAAGTGCTTTACGGATGAGAAGTATCCCATAATAATGTCAATTTATAAAAGTGTTGAAATCTATTAGAAATCCGTACCTTAATAAAGAATTAATGGAACACCCCCCTGACTGTCAATCAAATAGCCAGGTGGGTTTCTACCTGTTTCCTTTAGCTCCCCTGAGCTAATGTAAGTGGCATGCACACCCCCCGCATACCCTGGACCAGCATCCATTATGGCACCTCAGAGGCTTCTCAATGAGAGGGGAAGGCTTGCGAAGGCAGCAGTTTGTGCAAAGATATGCCCCCAATGAATGCATGCATGAATTAATCTGGGGTATATATACTAAACAGTGATTTATAGATTTTTGTCCTAATATGGGGAGTGGAGTGTTTCTTTATGTGAGTCATTGAGTTGAAAAGTAACAAACGAGGATTATATGACAATAAGTAGATTTTTTGCTCCTGGTTTGCTGACAGAAATCACAGAAAAATCAATGTACTCCTCGTTATCTATGAAATTCTATAACACAAAGTGGTGGGGAATAAGATATGTACAGCGCACATAATACTTCTGATGGGATTTGCACTAAAAGCAACAACAGAGGGGAGTAGATTAATTGCCAATGAATATAAACCCGAAGAAATGTCTGTGAAAAATTAATTTATCGTTAAAAAAATGCATGCATTACAGCAAAAGAAAACAAAATAATTAAGGCTCACATCACACCCTTAAAAACCAAAACAAACCAAAATGTTGTCTATTGCTGCCAGTTTTATGTTGGCTTTCCCATACCATTTTCTCCTATAATTTTTTTTTGTAAATCTTTCTTTTTTTAATTCTGTTCTCTAACCATAAAGCTGTTTTCACTTGAAA